TAACATTCTTAACAAGCAATACTCGAAAACCCAACGTTTAGGTAGGATCAGTCCAGAACTTTCGTAAATTCCAAAATTTGTGCTTGACCTCTGGATGGCACTTCCCCTTTGTGAATTTGGACTATAATTTCAGTAATTTTTTAGATAAGCTTATCTGCATTTTCAATAAGGCATTTCCTTTAATTACAATTAAGTCAAAACAAAACCCTGGACTACCAAGGGTATCCGCATATCAGCCAAGAATATGCGTTCATTACTGTACATCAAAAAATTTACTACCAATTCCTTTGTCACTGAATATATCTCCAAGTACAGAGGAACCTATTTAAAACTTATCAAAACCGCTATCTTCGAAATAAAACTATCAAACATTTTCTCTTACAAACCCTGAAAATCTAAATGAATACTTCGTTAATGTGAGTACAAATACAACATCAGCTATTTTGCCACAACAAGATCCTATTTCCCATCTTCCTAATTCAAAAAAGGTCTCGAATTCATTCTTTATAAGACCACTTGATAAATCTGAGCTGATCTAAACAATCAGCAGTATCAAAAGCAAATCTTCCGATAGTACTGATGGACTATCCATAAAAATTTTCTTAAATCTCACAAATAATGTGTTGGAAGTCCTGGTCTCACTAATTAACGATTCCTTTGAAAAAGGTATATTTCCAGAGTGCCTAAAGACAGCCATTATTGTTCCTCTTCATCTTATTTGTCAACCATTTTCCATTCACTCCTGAATGTAGGTCTCTCCCAATTGCTTCCATCTTTCTCTATCTTGCGCCAATCTAATCCACTGTTTGCCTGCCACTGCTCTTATGTCATCTACCCATCTTTTTTGAGGTCTTCCCATGCTTCTTATTGTCGTCCTTGGTCTCCATTCTAGAATTCTCCGTGTCCACCTGTTGTCATTATATCGGGCTACGTGACCTGCCCAGCGCTATTTCATTTTTGTAATTTCTTCCACAATATCCCTAATATTCGTTCTACGTCTTATCTAGGTGTTTCTAATCTTGTCTCTTAGTGATATTCCAAGCATGATTCGTTCCATTGCTCTTTGCGTTGTTTCTAATTTTTTGGCAGATTTTTTGGTAAGTGCTACTGTCTCCAAGCCGTAGGTACAAACTGGTAGTATGCATGTGTTATACACCTTTTTCTTTAAGTTTATAGGAATGGAGGTGTTTTTTAAGATATGTGCTAGTTTGCCGAAAGCGCCCGATTTGCAGATATTAGATAAATCTAATGTCTGCAACTATAGACTCATTGTCTTACTACCTGTCCTATCCAAAATTATTGAGAGACTTATAAAAGCCCGACTTATGTCCTTTCTCGTTGAAAACAAAATTTTATCACAAAGTCAGTTAGGCTTATTATCTAATAAATGTACCAGCGATGCTATGTTTTCTGTACTACATGAGGTCTATCAAGCACTAAACAGTAATCTTTATACTCCCACTGTTTTTTGTAACTACGCCAAAGCTTTTGATTGTGTAAATCATGACATTTTGATAAAAAACTAAATTTCTACGGAATTCGAGGTATTTCTTTGAATTGGTTCCAATCTTACTTGAGGAATAGGAAACAACTAGTTAGAGCAAATAATACTGACTCTAGTCACAAAAGCATTGTATGTGAAGTACCGCAAGGTTCAGTACTGGGTTCTTTACTTTTCCTTATCTTTATAAATAACATCACTAACTTGAAAATCGATGGAAAATTTTTTCTTTTTGCTGATGATACCAGTATTACCTGGAAGAACTCTAATATTGCAACTCTTCGTGCAACTATAACTTCTGATCTACTTAAAATAAAAACCTGGTCCGACTATAATTTACTATCTTTTAACGTGCATAAAACAGTAGCATTATCCTATAAAGAAGCTCTTCAACCCTTGCTTCTTAATAACAGCCAGATCAGTATAATTGATTCTGTAAAATTTCTTGGTATTTTTATAGACAGCAACCTTAAATGGTCCCTTCATATCGATTTGTTAAGAAGAAACTAGCCTCAGCCTGCTATACAATAAGATCTGTTTCGAAGAAAATTAATTTAGCATCGTCCAAAATAACATATTTTTCTTTGTTCGACTCTCATCTTCGATATGGCCTTCCTTTTTGGGGTTATAGTACAGCTGCTCAATCTGATGTTATTTTTAAATTACAAAAAAGAGCAATACGGTATCTTTTTGTCCTCAGTAGACTTGTGCAACACATTGCAAAAGCTACTTCAAAAATCACGGAATTTTAACTCTTCCATCTCTATATATTCTAGAAACTGTTTGCTTAATTCGTAAACACCTACATGTTTTTCCAGCAAGACCTAGGCATTATTACTCCCTTTGCAACTTAAATCTACAACTTCTTTCTTTAAATTCCGTAAATTGACAGAAGCCTATCTATCTGAAAGATCTTATTATTCAGTGGAAGAGTTTCCTAATGAATAATTAAGAAAGAAATACAAACAACAAAGTATATATATATATATATATATATATATATATATATAATATATATATATATATATATATATATATATATATATTGAAATGATTTTAATATGTTAAAAAATATACAACTTAAATGGATTTTTATATGAGTTTGTTGTTCATGAATTTCATGAAGCCATCACAATGTGGGTTCGACTCTGAAATAAAAGAGAGAAAAAGATTTATAAATTGTTAAATAAATTAATTTTGACTTACCTGGTATAGTGTTAATATTTTCTGAATAGTATAGGTGCCTAGTGTATAGGTGAATCGTCTAAACCTTAAAAAGAACAAAAAAGAAGAATTCTTAAAAAATATTTAAACATAGAAATTTTAAAAAAACGTCAGAAAATAAACTGTCAAGCAAGTTTGTGAGAGCTAAATTAATAGAGGTTTTGTTAAATAAGAAATTACAATGATGTGGAGATAAAAAGAATTAATTGTATTAGTATTGTAATAGAATAAGTTTTATATCCGAACATTTTTTTTAAATTCCCAAATTAGATGTGATTAAAGTGATTATGAGAAGTTAATGTGGATTGATAAATGTATCAGAACAGGACAGTTTTATGGTTTAATAAAATAGAAGACGAAAAGAAAAAAGAACGTTGGTTGCTGTTAGCAACAGAGAATAATTGGTTTTTTGGGACGCCGACGAGGATTTTTGGACGAAGGGGAGCCCTGAAACTGTGGAATATGTCGGGAGTGTTTTTTTAACTCGTCTAATTAGAATTTTAGTTTTTCCACAGTTTCCACAGCAGAGATATCCAGAATTTGTTCCAGAGAGTAAGAGAAACAATTTGACTTATAAATTATTTTGGAGTACAGAAATGTCATTTAAATTGAGAAAATTAAAAATCATGAATTAACATAGGCATTAAAAATTGAAAATATTAATGATCATTAAATTAAAAATAGAATAGTACGTACCTTAACTTCTGAAGAGAGGATTGATATTCCAGTTTCACCGATTATTTTGCGAGTAGTTAGTTTTCTTTAAAGAAATCCGAACTGTTTTAAAGTGAGGTTGGATAATAATTTTGGGGATCATTTGAAATTTTGATTATATTTGAACGCAAGTTTAAAGTCAGCGGAATAAAGTGTTCAGTTTCTTTTTCTTTATAGTTCATTTAAACACTTTATAAAGTTGCAATATTTATTTAGTTTTTAGGTACTTGTAGAGAGTCTCCACATTTTGTAATAAATTTTTATTGTCACGACACTAAACCAAATTAAGATTTACACGATTCCTATTTTTGTAAATTTTTAAAGGCAACCCAAGTTGCAGACGAATTTTATTGTTTATATTAAATTTGTTCAATATTAATAAATAACGTGCTTCATTTGGGTTAATTTATCAAAAGTCTAAAGTAAATTTTGGTTTAATTTCTTTTTGAACTCTACCAAGAGACTACAGAGTCGACGTCACACAGTGACAGATTGCTTAGAACACATAATTGAGCTAGCTGAGGTATATATTAAATTAAACAACGAACCACATAATTTAAAAATTACAACATTTATTATAGAAAAAAAAATTAAAAAAATATATAAGCTTCGTCCATAAAATTGTAAAATTTCCAATGACAATAAAGCATACTTCTATCAATATAACAGTTGTTAATAGTTTCCAAATGCCTCGATATCACTATTAACTTATTAATACATTGTTGCCTCGATATCACTATTAACTTATTAATACATTGTAAAATGTCAACTTAAATCACAAATTCTAAAATTTGAGTACATGATGGAGTTTGCCGACTAAGTCAACATACCTTGACACGGCTTAGTCGATAAGCCCCATGCATCACCCTTCCATTCAGAAGGCCGTATAATAGACATGCGTTAACAGAGATATGAACAAATCACGTTAAATCATAGTCAATATGTATGTTACTTCTGAATAATTGTAGTAAAATTTGTAACGAACGATTTTATAGATGATACTAAAAAAATGTAGAGGACCAAAGTAATTATTTACCAAGGATGACTAGATTTCTTGTTTTTGCCGACACAAGACACAAGCGACCATAACAGCAATATTGTAAACTGGAGGCGCAAGAGTGGACAGTTCACTGTAGGTACACATTAAATGAACTAGAGGCAATTACTCAACTAATCCCTTTAGTCAACTAGCCACGGTCTCCCCCACTCGTTTAGGTGGAAAAGTTCTTACTAATCGTTTTTACGAAAAGCGCTTGTCATACGTACAAGAGGAATGCAAAAGGATCGTGCTCACAATTGCTATGTCCACCACTACATATGTAGCTCAAAAATGAGCAAAAGTTATGAACCATGAAAATTGAATGTTTCAGTTTTTTATAAGAAAAGTAGAACTGAGTTAGTTTTTTTAGGTGAAATATGTAAAGAACATATGTATATAAAATATATAAAATTAATGGAAAATACTCCTTTCCCTAGGATTATTTACATACTCCTAAAATTAATTATTTTAATTATGTTTTAATGGTTTTTATAAATATATTTATTTATTGTTTATTTTCAGAATACGGCAAGTTTTGAACTGGATGTACAGCAAGAAACAGGTAAATATTTGATGAAACTACAGTTTTAAAATATAACAAAGTAACAATAATAACATAGAATACATCACCCAACAAGAAGCGAAACGAAGGGCTTTATCGCAATCAGAGATCACTGATCGCAAACTTTCTGTGAGATCCGCCATGTTCTAAATAGTTTATCTGTCAACCTATAAAGACTAAAGTTTGTTTACGTATTGAGAAGTGTTGTTTCGTTGTTGGTGTAATAGTAAAAAAACAATAATACTGTTATACATATTTTGTATATACATATACATATTTTAATATTACTACTACTACTAAGGATTTCCACAGTTTTCACTGTCTTCCTTCACTCAGCCGTTTTCTCCAATTTTCCCTGCCATTCCAGGATAGTCTCTTCTCCTCTATATAGTCGATTATGTCTGATTGCACTCCCATTCTCCGCTTAATCTCTGCGTTTTCAATTCTGTCTCTTTTTGTAAGTCTACAGCTTCTCCTCAGTAACTCCATTTCTACTGCTCTTATTCTACCTCTATTTCTCTTGTTTATTGTCCAGTTTTCGGACCCATATGTCAGGATACTTCTTGTCAGGTACATATTTTAATACCTATATTAATAAAAGTAATAGGAATCGACTGATTTTCATCTCTATTTTAAAATTAAATCTCAAATTCAATCGCTTTTTATCGGTATTTTAAGCACTAAAATACTTTTAGTACGTTAATTTGTTTGTTTAAAAAAAATCGACTCGATATTTTTGACTTAAGACCTTTTTATTTATCAGTACAGAATTGATATATGGGTTGTATTAAATTTTACAGAAAAAAATACGATTCATACAAAACAGATCTACTTAAAAAACATTAGTTTTAATGATTACTTCGCTTCTCAGTGTAACTATAATTTTACTACGCTACACTTTTGAACGACTTCCTCATTACTTTTATTAGTGTACTAAGTAGTTTAACTGTCACTGTAAGACCGAAATTTTTGTCCTACGAACACCAAAGGTACCGACAAAGTTTTTGCTTCTTGTTGGATGATGTATTCTGTGATAATATAAAAACAATTTCCATGTTACAACACATGTTCCAAAAGGTTTCCGCGGTTAGTACAATTAGACCTAGAACTAAGATTCACACTATTACAAGAAATAATATTAAACTCAACAGTCTTCCGGGTTAAATCGCGTCGATTATTATGCGCCGAGCTTTCGACATTCTCTTCGATGTCTTATTCAGGGCTTCCGAAGTCTCAGCCTAACGATCCCCCAGACACTACTGCACTGACCACTAATCAATGCATTGCTGGGGTTGGAAATTAAGGACAGAAGTTAAATCATTTATACCGTCGATGGTAATGTGGTTTGGGTGGAAGTTGGCGTGGAGGTTAGTGTGGATATTGGCGCGGTGATGGAAGCGGCGGTTGGCGCGAACGTGTCTGATAGTAGGATTTTAATTGACGGGTGCAGCGGACGGTATTTTCTTTATGAGAGGTCTTTAAGTCGAAGGTAACCGTATGCTTTCATCTTTTCTTGAGACAATTTGACCTTTTTTCAATTTATACGGCTTCTCTGATAATTCTTGGTTTATAGAAGCGGATGAGGGCAATGGTTCTGGAGTTTTCAAAATCAATTTTGTAAACTGTATGAAGATATTCTTGACGTAAAGCTGAAATTGAGTCGGAATAGCGAATAGAAATGGAATGTTCATAAATCATCTTTTGGATTCTACGATTTGTTTGTCGTATATAAGATCGGGGCAGTTTGCACAAGGAATTTTATAAGCTCCGTGTTGTTCATTTGGAATGTTATCTTTGATTGATCGGACAAGAAATAAAAGTTTTTGTTGGCGGGTAAATATTGTCTTTATTCTTCTTGATTTTAGAATTTTGTCGATTTTATCAGTGACACCCTTGATGTAAGGATGAAAAGCTTTCGTATGATGAATGAAGGTCCGAGTTTTGGGTTGAGATTGAGTGGGAGATTGATGTTTGTGGATGCTCCTGTTGATGTGATTTTTTGGATGTAATCGTTTTGGATGAGGGCTTGTTTTTAACTAGAGACCTCAGCGGGTCTACTTGCATCATTGTAAAGGCGTATTGATCTGGAGGCAAGCGTATTAATGACTGAATTAATTTGTGAAGAGAGATGATGAGAGTTGACATGCAAGTAACGATTGGTATGGCTGGGTTCTCGATAAACAGAGTGATGAAACAGAGTGTTTCTTTATGATAACGTCGAGAAATGGTACGGATTAATCAGTTTTCATCTCCATCGTGAACTGGACACTAGTATATCATTTAGATGGTTTTGAAATGACATCAAAGCATCCCTGCCATGAAGAGAAATGACGAATGTATCCTCAACATATCGTAACCAACATGTGGGTTGATGATGATAGTTGATTGTAGTAGAATTGAGTAAAATTGAGCATTGACGTTGATAGTGCTCAGGTCTCGAAGTCTTCCATAAAGATATTGGCAACTATTTGAGATAGAGGAGTGCCCATTGGAGCACCATTAATTTTTTCTGTAAAATGGATTTTGGAAGATGAAATAAATGTTGGACATACAATGTTTAGTGATAGATAAGTGGTCTTGCTGGATACTGTAATTAGTTTTCAGAATGTTTAGAGTTTCGTCTATAGGAATTTTTGTAAAGACTGAAACGATATCGAATCTTACTAGAATTCCTCACGGTGAGATAGTGATTGCTTAAGAAGTTCGGAGGAATGAAAAGAACTTTTGACGAAGTATGAAGCATTTTCGACGAGATGTTTTAGAGCTTTGGCTAAGTACTTGGCCAATGGTTGTGTAGGGCAGTTGTATGACTGATAATGGGACGTAGAGGAATATCAGATTTATGAATTTTGGGTACGCTATATATCCGAGGTGTTCTACTAGAAGACTTTTCACGAGGAATTAGATTGTTTTATGTCAACTGGAAGAGAGGTTCTATTGATAATGGCTTTTTGTTTTCTCGACATAGGTCGTTGAATTTTTATGAATTGGTTTCCATCAAAGTACATCTTCAACAACTAAGACACAGAAAACAGAGAAACCGAGGTGACTACAAATTTAAATCAAGACCTCTAGATGCTTCACTTATAAAACTATTGAAAACCACAATATACTATAATGTTTTTATTAATTCTAATTTATTGTTCTTATTTTAATTTACTAAAGGTTCAATATTTATAACACTTACAAACTTAATTTATTTAAAGTTAATTTATAATAATTTATATTACAATAATAATTTATTATTACGATCGTTACATTTAAATAGCGGTCAGATAGCTCAGCGGGCTGTGCGGCTGCCTCTCATTCGCTTCACTGTCGAATGGTTTAGTGGATGTGGGTCGAGCCCAAGCTCGGTGTACAGAAAACAAAAAGTCTAACGCAGCAGTTTAAAATTCTAGATGAATCTGCGGCTTAGACTAGGATATGCTGGGTTCTGATCGGCCTATGGTGGAGCAGTACGGCAAGAGATAAGGGCTTGCGGCTCGGTGATACTCCTCCATAGATCCCTACCGGACGGGCGTAACGCCTAAAAAACCGGATATATATATATATATATATATACATTTAAATACCCGATCACGATTTTCTTTTCTGACTGCTCCCGCAATGAAAGCTCCGTTATTATACACTCATTCAGCTGCTAGACTAGAAGGATCTGGCATTGACATTGATAAGTCTCACAGGTATTTCTTTAGCCGAAGTCACCAATTCCTTTCCAATTATGATTCCTCGGCCAACCTCGTCGTTATGGTTATTATGGTTCCAAGGCTCCATCATAACAGGTGTCCCTGCGTCCAAAATTCCATGTAGCCGCGCTACTATGATCGTTTCACTTCTCGCAGGCACGACTGTATATTCTTTAACGGCGCTTGCAAAGTGTTATCATCATGTGGATGAAGAAATACCTCCTCGTTACCAACTTTGATTACCTTATTTTTAAAATCCAATTGGAATCCATGCGTATTCATTACGTCCATTCCTAATATAACATCCTCTTCGATGTCAGCAACTATAACAGTATGGACGAACTTTTCTGCTCCAATTCCTAATTGTACCTGGATTTCTCCATGAATGTTGGCATTTTCATCTGTAGCTGTCCGCAGTCGCAACCTCGTTGGTAACAGTTTCTTTCGGCTGTTTATAACTGTCGGGCGTATGATGGTTCTGGTCGCTCCGGTATCCACCAACAACGTATGCTTTTAACCATTTATTTCTCCATCTACATATACACTATCTTCACGACATTTCAAAGAAGCTATTAGTATGAGAGAGTCTTTGGAAAAGTTCTGGGTCGAAGCTGCCCCCTAAGGCCGACCCGTTCTAGTTTTCCTGATGGTGAGTTTCTTGATTTGCGTCGTACCTAGGATGCTTACAGGAACTTCGTACGTGTCCTATTTCTCCACAATTCCAGCATATTATGTTCTTCATTTTCTTGTATGTCATGCTTTTCATTATATTAACGAGCTGGTCAAGTTTATTTCATCTCCTTCCTCTTTTACAGTCCTAACTTTACTGTATCCACCAGAGGCCTGCGTAGCTGCCTCGTATTCGAGGGCGGTGGATGACATCAACCAGCGTTTTGTGACGAGCTAATCGTAGTGTTCTCTGCATTTCATGATCACGAAGACCATCAATAAACGTTTGAACGGCCAACTTTTCCATCATGTCTTCGGGAGCTATTGGATAAGCATATCGTGCTAATCTGGCAATATCTACCTCCTATTTTTGAAGAGCCTCATCTTTCTTTTGTCTTCAATTTTTAAGCTGCAACTGATATACATGCTCCAAGTGTTAGTGGCCATATCGCACATTTAACCTCTCCTTAAGTTGTTCGAAATCATCCGTCTCCTCTACGGCTATGGTCTGGAGCACATCTAAGGCATCTCCTCGAAGAGCGATAGTTAGGTTTACAGCCTTTTCTTTTTCAGACCATCCATTCGCTCTTGCAGCTGATTCGAAGTGTTTCATGTAGTTGTTCCATGACGATTTTCCGTCGAAAGTTCGGACTTTGACATGAACAGAACCTCCACTTCCTTTAAATTTCGGCCGTGTTTCCAACTTACATTTCGTCTCGTCATCTTTTGTCTCCGCTGTAATTGGATTGTTTTCTCTCTCTGCTATTTCTGTTCCCTTAATCTTCCTTTCCATCTCTTTCCATATCTTTTCTTCGAAAGACAACATATCGGCAGCACCTTGGTTTTTTAACGAAGACATTTCCAAAGAGATGTTAGCAGAAACTTTGCTTTCTAGAGAAGAAATCTCGTTAGAAACTTTGTCTTCTAAAGAAGCGATGTCGCCGCAAACTTTGTTCTCTAATGATGCCATGTCACCAGAAACTTTGTTTTCTAATTTCGAAATCGACGAGATCACAGCAACATGCTTGTCTTCAAATATATAAGTTTCCGGATCCAAACACTCTTCTTTTAAAGCGTTCTTTAGTCGTTGGATTAAATCAGCCTTTTTTCCAGTAGAAGCTAATTCTCTGGCCTCGAGATCTTAAATCCGTAACTGTGAGCTCATAAATACTAGCCATTTTCACAATTTCCACTATTCCACTTTTCTTCTGACACCACTATAATGTTTTTATTAATTCTTATTTATTTTTCTTATTTTAATTTACTAAAGGTTCAATATTTATAACACTTACAAACTTAATTTATTTAAAGTTTATTTATAATAATTTATCTTACAATAATAATTTATTATTACGCTCGTTACATTTAAATACCCGATCGCGATTTTCTTTTCTGACTGCTCCCGCAATGAAAGCTCCGTTATTATATACTCATTCAACTGCTAGACTAGAAGGATCTGGCGATGAATCGATGAATCCACCCATTAGACGACAAGGTGACTCAGGGACTGGTCTTTCGGCGAACGACTAGAGATTTCTGCCGGCAGGTAAAGAGGTCTTTCAACTGAGTGCCGAAATTACTAGGAATAGAAAAGAATTAGTCATAATATATTTACAGTTTTATACGCCATAATGTTTATTATAGTAACACACTAGTAACACACTATTGCTACAGAAGCAATGAAATACCTAAACTAGAAATAATTATAAAGAAATTGGAAACAACTAGTCGGAATATGAACTCATGTAAGAAAACTCTTCAAAATTGGATAAAGAATGGCTTAAATAAAATTTAAAATAATAAATAAACATCAAGCCGTTATGGAAAGCCAAAGAATAGTCAACCGTCGTAATCTCTCTCTCTCTCTCTCTCTCTCTCTCTCTCTCTCTCTCTTTCTCTTTCTCTCTTTCTAACCCCAAATTCAATAGGATTCTTCCTTAGACCAAAGTCCCAAGATGTTTTAAGTTTCGTAGATAAACGTGGAGTCGGAATCCTAACTAACTGAGTTAATATTCTTTACACAATCTGTGACATGGTAGTTTTACACTGTTATTTATATCCGATACTTTTATATTTTAAATTTATTTTTAGGTAATTGCAACTGCTCATGGAAGATACGTAATATCCACTATAAAAAAGGCAATGAATACTTTGTTGTTAATTCTAAAGAAAGACCAGAGTCTGGTAAACAAATAAAAGAAATTAAATAGTAAGTATTCCAATTATCGTCTGATATTTTAATATATATGTTATGGACAAAGTGATTATGTTAGCCATTATGTATAATGCCCGGTCATTATTAATAATGACTAACTTCAGCGGGCAATTTGATAACTTTTTACAATTTATCATATTGTCTGGTCATTATGAAAAATGCTATACTATGGCCGGGCAATGTGATAAATCGGCGTTCTTAGTAAATCATGCGATCTTCAGCCGCGAATCAACGCGCTGTATCCAAGGTTACAGTCACCGAAGCGCGTCGGTCATTATTTATAAATCATATTTCAGTTGAATGTTAGTAATGGTATATACGACAAGTGGTTTGTTTGTGACATTTCTTTGTTAATTCTTTGTTTATAAAGTATTGCATAGTGAACTATGGAAAAAGAAGAACTATTAAGTGATATGAAAAATCGATTTAACAATCGGTTAACTGAATTAATTTCAGCAAAAAGTCAAAATTCACAAATTTTCACAAAAACAGCCTACATGGAAATGATACAGAAGGTAAAAAACTCTAAAAGTAAACAGACAAATAAAACGCCGAGTGATTATCAGCGCTTACGAAGATTCGACGTTATGACGATTAGAGAAGTAGAAAAATTGATTGTTCCTGTGAAAGAAGATAACGTAATTAAATACTACGTCCATACAGAAGAAATATTTGATACATTGCGCGATCTTCATATTACTATCGGGCATGGTGGTAGAAACCGAATGGAGAAGGAAGTACATTCTAAATTTAAAAATATTACAAGGGAGATGATTGTTATCTATTTAAATTTATGCATGACCTGGCAGAAAAAACATAATGTTCCAAAGAAAGGCTTGGTGGTGAAACCAATATTGAGCAAGGAAATGAATTCAAGATGCCAAGTCGATTTAATCGATATGCAGTCACAAGCCGATGGCTGTTATAAATTTGTGCTTGTTTATCAAGACCATCTTACCAAATTTGTCCAACTTCGACCTCTTACAAGTAAAAGAGCAGAAGAAGTATCGCATGTACTTTTGGATATTATCACAATATTTGGGGCGCCGAGTGTGCTTCATAGTGATAATGGCAGATAATTCGCTAACCATATTATCAAAGAGCTGTGTAGCATCTGGCCCGAGTTAAAAATGGTACATGGCAAACCCAGGCATTCTCAGAGTCAAGGATCTATAGAAAGGGCCAATCAAGACGTAGAGAATATGCTTGGTTCGTGGTTAGAAGACAACAATACAAACAAATGGTCTGAAGGCTTACGTTTTGTTCAACTAATGAAAAATAGAGCTCATCACACTGGTATAGGTTGTAGTCCATATGAAGCCATGTTCGGCACAAAGTTGAAAGTTGGTTTAAAAAGCTCTCTATCCCAAGAAGTTCTGACTGATGTTAATTCGGAGGAAGACTTAGAGGTCCTGTTCAAAAATCAAGAGGCTGGGCTATCTACAGAACCGGATATAATACAAAATAATAATATAAATGTGGACTCTTCAATAATGTTGCCCGAATCAAGTTCCATATCATCTGGCTACATCCTGGACGTTCAAAAAATTGGAGCAATTTTAATTGATGAAAATTCATCTCGTGAATCTAGTCAAGTTCCAGAATTTTTAACAAATGCGGTAGAAACGGCTATTATAGTTAATTTAGAAAATAATGAAAATCTGGATTCCAATATAGATATTAGAATAAACGATGTAAGGAAGAAAAGAAAATTGGCTTCGACGAATCTAGAACAACAAGCCGAGAAGATGTTAAAATTTTCCAATTCCAAATATCCATCGGCTAAACTAGGTAACACAGTTAGAATACGAGTGCCAGATGTGGACCGAGCTCGTAGTGATCAAAGAAATCTACTAGCTATCGTGACAGAGATAACTGAAAAAAAGCTTTACAAACTAGGCACAAAATATGGCATACTAAATCAGTTATATTCAAGAAACCAGCTTACCGTTTGTAAAGAAAAGTTTATCTCCATAGAAAAAATTCCAGACACTGAGATATCTCTTAGAGAATGCGCAAGAAAATCTTCTAACTGTGGGGGACAAGGATACAGTAGGTGCGCTTGTAAAGGTGGGTGTAAATCCGATAAGTGTAAGTGTCGTAAAGAAAAAAAAATGTAACTCCAAGTGTCACCATAGTGGAACATGTTTCAACAATGTATCACGCAAAGGTGGTAAGTGTAGATATTTTTATTTAAAATTGAGTTTGATTTAGAACAAAAACGATTTAATTTCTCACTGGCCGCTTTGTGTGTTACCATCGATTTCGGTCATTAAAAAAAATGCAAATAAAAACACAGAATTCTTTTTTTGGTTTCCTCAATTACCGTTAATACATATTATATTTTTTATGTATACTTATTCATTAAATGTACTCATGTGCCATTTCACAGAAGACTGCAAGACTGTTTTCATTAGTATATAAAAAATATTTTAGTTTTTACTACATACTTGATTGTATCAAAATAAATATATTTCATATTTAATAAAAATAAAAGTAGTTTTAATCATCCTGTCTAGTAGATGCCAAGCATTATACATAATGCCCGGGCAATGTAATGATTTTAATAGTATTTATTATATTGACCGACAGTATTGGGCATTTTTTATATAGCCCGGGCATTATGAAAAATGACCAATTAATCATATGGTCCATAACATATATATATATATATATATATATATATATATAATATATATATATATATATATATATATATATATGTATATATATATTTTATTTAAAAAAGTGTAATCCCATCTTCAGTGAACCTAAAAGCAAGCAATTCCAGTAAATGAATAAAAACGTAGGGTAAAAGTCTGATTATTATATGTCAACATGTTACCAATTAATTACTTTGTAGCACTTGGAAAATAACCCCAAAACCAAACAGTGGTTTGGTTTCAATGGATTAAACCATACTTAAAATTTTTAAATTATCTGACTATATGCCGATGAACTTGGATTGTCTACAGGGAACATAAGTCCCTACTCAAAAGAGTTTTTCTACATCCGAACTGTAGAAAAGTTCGATTGTGTATTTGTTAAAAAGTAAACCAGGTCAAGGGCCCATATGTTAAACTTTATAAAAATTTTAAATAAATTATGTTATTAAAATTAAGACAGTAGCTAGTATTTTATTATTACTTATACCTAATTGTGTACATTTCATGAATTTAATATAAAATTAAATTGGTCAGTAAAATTGGAAGCTCATTTTTTTAAAAGGACAGAAATTCAAATGTGATGATTAGAGAAATAAGTGAATTGAGAATGAGTTAATTGATTGAATAACTAAATGTGAAAGAAGAGAAAATTTATTTTATACACTACTGGAAGGGATCAAAATATCCTGTAGTGTAATTATAACTAATTGGGTGTGAAAAGAGTAATGTTAACAAGAAATAAGTAACAAGAGTTGTATTGAAAATTTGACGTTGAACTGTAGGCTAGGTTGTATATGTGTAAGGGAATTTTGAATTGTAATTGTTGTAAAATCAAGATTGTTTATTGTTCTTTATTATTTAATTTGTCGATGTTTTGTATTTTGGAAACGATGTTCAAAGTGGAAATTAAAACGCCAATAACCTTATTTTAGACTTAAATTTTGGCTTATACACAATTGAAACAGTAATTGCTTTAAAGATTATTTAAATTTGATTTAAAAAAAAGTGACGGTTTTATAGGATTATTGATGTTAAAAGACATTAAATAGTTGAAAGCATCATAAGATAAAATGTGGTTATGGTAATAATAGTGTCTTCTTCTTCTCAACATGCCATACACCAAAGTGCGTAGGCGACTATCTCATTACTAGAATTCTGTTCTTGGCGGCGTGACACAGCTCACCTGTATTGTGTATTTCTGGATAATTGTTTGGGGCCGGCTCATCTCCTACCTTCGATCTTCCCTTGTAGGATTAACTGTGGTATTTCATATTTTGCTCCTCTCAATATGTGCCCAAGGTAACCAATCTTGCGTTTTTTAATTAATTCAAAGAGTTCTCTTTCCACGCCGGCTCTATTAAGGACGTCATCGTTTCGAACTCTATCCACCCAAGGTATGCGCATCATTCTTCTCAATGACCACATTTCAAATGCTTCAAGTTTTGTTGATAGTGTTGATAGTGTAATGATAGTGTAAATTGTAAAATTAAATGAAAAATGATTTAATAAAAATGGGGGACATTAATGATTCCTGGAGTTAAGGTGTGTCAGTGCAAAGTAAGAATGTGCAATTCAATTATATAATTGGATATAAAATCGATGGATTCGACCGTTACTTGATGGAAATTTATTTTATGTAACAATAAAATACTGAAAACTTTGTTTTCAAACTTCCACAAAATTTATTTTAAACTCTTATCACTACAGCTGTGTCGGCTGATTGCCTTTCCCAATGATCTATTTTTGGCATGCGTTTACACTTTATAGTCTTTTAATGAAATAGGATGAGGAGGGAAGAACTGTGGTCTCAAGTTGGTCATTCAGAATTATATCATATTAATTTGTTGATTTCCATAGCTTCTAACAAAGATAGCTTAAGGCCTTTATTTTGAATGTGAAGAATTTTGAATTCGATTAAAAGAATGATTATGATCTAGAAGGTGAAGTGCGTATGTAGAATCTGTTTTTCTATTATTGAAAGCCTTTTTATGTTCTGCTATTCGTTTATTAAAATTTCTACCAGTTTGACCGATGTAAGTTTTGGGACAGTCGCCACATTTAAGTTTGTACATACCACTGTATAAGTGTGTTTTATTTTGGCTCTTGGCCTTAAACCACGTTTAGGTTTTCGGTCTGTTATTTCGACCTTTTTTTAACGACTTTAGTTTCCTAGATTTATAAGTTTAAGCAATAAAAGCAAAATAAAATTTTCAGCGTATAATACTGTTATATTTTTATTAATTCTAATTTATAGTTCTTAATTAAAATTTATTAAAGGTTCAATATTTATAACACTTACGAATTTATCAAAGTCTTTATTACTGCTAATTTATTTTACACTTAATAATAACAAATAATTTATTTACGTTCGACACAATTTACCGCGAGACAGGACTTCTTGTTGACTGACTTCTTCAATAAAAGCTCCGTTATTATATATGAAAATACAGCTATTCGAGAGTTCAGGGGAATCCCTCTGATAATACTAGGCCGGGTCATCACTCGACCGGTTTCTGGAAACTTCGAACTGCCGTTTCGTCTCGTCCGTTCTACAACATATTTAGTAAATAAACAACATGTTTACAGGTTTATTTTAATATGACTATTTTTTTTAATTTTTATGTAACAATACCTTCACTTTTAATACAACACTATTGGACTATAACTCATGTATTTATGTTTTTAGTGAATCACATTCAACTGGAGAAGTATTTGAAATAACCAAAGGCTATTATACCGAAAAAGAATTTGTGATTTGCATGGATAATTTAGTAGATAATGAAGAATATACGCTGTCTGTAAATTATAGTACTGATGATGGCTGCCCGAACTGTACTACTAGCATAAAATTTAGGACACCGGGTACGTATTAATTAATTATTTTAATATTTAAAAATATAGTTAATGTTAAAATCCTAAATTTTAAACAATACATTTTTAATAAAACTTTCGGGTAAAAAACGTTTCTTCTGCTTTATCGAAAATCGTTGTATCTTTTTAGTTGGATAGTGGCACAGTCTCTCGGCCTTTAAACAATAATTATTTTATGCATTGGTATGCTTTTCCATTTTCTCCCTCTATATCAATAATATATTTTATACATATTTTCTACGGTATCCTCTCTCTTCATTTATTAAACCTGCTTGATTCTGAAACGATTCCATTACCTGCTTGGTCGATTCTCTTGATAATTACATTTCATTTTGATCACATTTTTTGTAAATTTTTTTTTCTTGTATTAACATAGTTTCTATATCCTGCCTTCCTTTGCCCAATGTGTTTGGTTACTCTTAGGTAATCGAGCCAGCTTAACTGAATAAAAAATATTAAGTAAACAAAACACCAATAAATGGGACCACGATGTAATAAATAAATCCGAAGTAAAGAGAATGTATAAACGACAGATAAGTGATAATATAAACTACCTAAAAAACGAGTTAACAAACATAAATGAAAGATGGAATGAAATAAAAGATCAAATAAACAAAGCTGCAAACAAAATAGTAGGAAAGAAGAAAACAAAAAAGTAGAACAAAGACTGATATGACCAATAGTGAGACATTCAAAGTACCGTAAAATTGGGTGAAACTGATCTAAAAGCGTGAAATTGATAATTGCGAATGATTCTGAATATTTTAATTTTCCATGAAATCTAAGAAGCTTACAAACGGGTGACAACGTCGCTTTAGTTAGTAAACACTTGTGTTAAACCTGTAATTGTTTAGTTGAAGTAAGTATATTTTTTAAGGAAAAAAGTTTGTTTTAATAAGTTAAGTTTCTTTAGCTTCCTAACTTTCTGGTGCCTGAGAAAAACTAAAAAAAATGTGCGATTTTAACTAACTATCTTCAGTTTATTATAATTTTTTAGGGAAATTTAAAAATTTACAATGGGGCTAACTTAATCAGGTGTCTGAGGGTAAATTGATCTCCACCGGGGGCGAACTGGATGACATTTTTTCTGAAGAAATCTTAAATTAGTGCTTTGTTTTTGGAAAAAATGATTCGAAAGTATGGGTGGAAATGCCCTCCAAAAAGTTCTTGAGTATGGATGGTTCTTCCGTCGCTTTTAATTAATATAAAATTCCCTACTATAATGACCGACATTAAAGAAAAAATGGTGGGCAGACTATTTTCTTAAAGAAAACCAGTATACAGCGTGTTGGATGCTCAGGGTCCACAAGTGCGTCTGTTCAAAAACAATTTACCTGGACCTGACTGGGTATATTCATTACTGTGACGACATAAAGGAGAAATTACCCAAAAAGTGGCGACAAATATTAAAAGACCTATAAACAAATTCACGAGAGGATTTCAGTACAGTGCTTATGAGAAGCGACGTTGCCGCTTCGGCCCGCAAGGCACGTTCATAGTCTGCAGGTGTGATACAGGACCGCGTTGGCCCTCCTGTACGATAACATTAAATCACGCAATCCTATTAGAAGTAAATGTAACATTATTTACAACTTCAAGGTTTTGCAAATTACACAAAATTTAATAAAACTATGTTCTTTGAAATCTTTTTTACTAAATTATACAGGGTGTAACAACAGAACGGAGTCTATTAGGGAAACTGCTACAAAAAAAATTCGTAGCTCCGTAGTGGCTACAAATTTAAATTGTTAATTTATATACCGACAGGATATATACCAACTTGGATCAATTATTACTATTAACATTCTCAACAATTATTACAAAGAAAAGTGTGTATACACCAAAGAATAAAATTACGCTAATAAAAGAATAAAAATTTATATAGCCTAAACGCTACCTAAAGAATAAAGATAAGACTTACAATAACAGTGTCTGGTCTCTACTCCATTTCGGAAAAATCGTCCTCACTGAAACTGCCGCTGTTGGCTGTGATAATCACCGGTAGGATATCTTCTTGTAGGTTGTCAGCTATCCGCATTTCTTTTCCCATTCTGATGACATGCTGTATATAATTTTGCCACTGTTCAGCAGAGACATTGGCAAGCGCTTCATGGATGAGTTGTTGCACACGATCTTTTTCAAAGTCAGTGTTTTGGCCTGCAACGTAATGTTTAACTTGGCTCCAAACCATCTTTATTGGATTAAGCCACAGTGATAGGGAGGCAATCGTAATACTTATACGCCGTATTTCTGGACCAAAGCTTCGATGTTATACTTGTCGTATATATCTGCATAACTATTTGCTACATCCAATAATAGTTCTGACTTTAAATAATCTTCTTCATAAAATATATCCTTCTCTCGTAACCATTATTGAATTTGTTGTTTGTTCCAGGACTTCTAGGGAAATTTTGTTTGCATGAATCATATGGAGCATTATCCATTACTACCACATTTTTTTCTCGTTTTGGGAGGTTTGCAATTAGTTTATTTTTAAACCAGTCTTCGAAAGAGTCGCCGTTCATTTCTTCATGGTAGTCGCCTGAATTTTTTTTTTTGCTAAAAATACACATTCTGAATTTGGTAGAAAACCTCTATCAGATCCAACATGTAACAAGACAAATCTCGGACCTCTTTGTTTCGGATCATTTAGACCAGTATGTAGTTTTAAAAATGCATCCTTATAACTGGTTATGGTTAAATTCATCCATACCTTATTTACTGTATGTCCAATATTTACCCAACTATCATCCAAATAGAAAATATTGTATCCTTGATTTCGATAATTCTGTATTTTTCTAAGAAATTTATGCCTCCAACTTATTATGTCAGTACATTCCATCATTACTGCTTTCTTTCCTCTTTTTTCATAAACAAACCCCATCTCTCGCAATAGTCGATATAGAGTACTTTTGGAAAATTTAGGCAAATGTTCGTGTAAATTAACGGCATCCAGGATAGCTTTGATTGTCGGAGGTATGTTCTTTAAGAAAAATTCCATGTGAGCAAGTCTTCTCAATTGGCTCCTGATATTCTCATCGTAGGTAAACTCCCGATTGGTTTCCTTCTTGGTCCGTTTACGTGGGTTTTTCAGAACTTTGGGTAAGTCTCCATTATGATCCAATCCTTCCTGACGGATTTTCCAGACTGTCCTATCGCTAACACCCAGCGCTGTATTTGTTGTAAAAACAATTTGTGTTGGAGTCAGATCGGAATTTGTTGTTGTATATATCAACATATTCAAAATAATTTGTCGCGCATATAAATCTAAGATTTGTCATTGTTTGACACTTTTCACCTATAAATGCTACATGTTTTTGATGCAATACATAAAAAAGTTTAAAAAATAAATTGCACTTATTTTTTGACAAGTTAACGTACCTTCTCGAATGCACACACAAAACATTTAAACTGTTTTTACAAACTGCAAAACTGCTATAGATATACGCACTCGTATAACAATTAGTAGATACTATTATCAGGAAAATTCGAAATGGGTATTTAATTACAACAATACCGAAATTTCTACACGGTTAAACCATTTCTACAAACGCCCATTAGTCAGTAAGCTATTCTACGAATTCTACGACTTTCACTTCGGAGGTCATTATCGAAATACAAAATATTAATAAATTACAACAATTTTGTTGTTAGTAAAAAAAATCTTCTAATAATTAAATTTAATCTAACTCATCCATATCGGCAAATTAGACATATTAAACATTTTAAAGTAGAAGGCATCAAAATGATATTGCCAATATTTATGAGTTGCAAGGATTTTATTGAAAGATAGTTCATTCAATTATATGAAATCAACTTTAACTTAAAAATATCAGTCACAAAATTATAGCATGTGATTAGTGTTTTAGGTTAAATCTTCGTATTTTGTGCTAAGGTATCTCCAGTTAATGGATAGCTGTTAATGAAATACCCTGTGTAAATATTACTAAAATATAAATGATGAGTATCCTCGATATATTTTTGACTTATCTACTAATCGTGGCATTTTCTTTCTATGCATTTCAATTCTATTCAAAAGGTCTCCAAACATCCAGTTCCGTAAATATGACAAGAGATGTAAGAAATTTTCTATTCGTCAAATACAACAGTGCTCAACAATTAATAAGGATCGAAGTAATATTTTACTCCAGAAATAGCCGTAAAAGTTTGTAAAAATCTAATATAATTAAAGTAATATTAATACCCCGACTTTATATCAATTTTAAACAAAATAAAATAAATTTTGCCATTCTGGCCATTTTTTACTAGGGTCAGCAAAAAGTTGAATATTAAAGTCGTCTATTTTCATTTATTCTATTAAGTCATCATACTAGGATCTCTTTAATTTAGTTTAAAAAACAAACTTTTAAAATATTTGAAATCATAATTATGATCCTTATCAATTGTTGAGCACTATAATACGACGACGTCCGAATATTTTCTGGAGCAGTCATTAGGGCAAACCAGTGAATGTTAGTGCAAAATTGCAAGTACTCCGTGTGTAAGGGAGTATTAAGTTCGAAGCCGGCTCTGCCACGTTGAGGTTGACGATGAAATCTACTGGTGAATCCGAGTTTAGAGCTAATATTTCAAAAGAAACTTTAGTTGCCTACTTCAAGAATCTGCGTAGAGAATTAGAAAATAATCTAATTATATATTTAATTACGACGAGACCGATGTACAAGATAACCCCGGAAATAAAAAATGGTATTTCAACGCGGTGCCAAATATCCCGAACTGGTTTTTAATTATACTAAAGCAACAACGACTATAATGATATGTGCTTCGGCTTCGAGATTGCTGTTACTACCATATATAATTTATAAAGCAGAAAAAATGTGGTTACCATGGACTGAAAATGGACCTTGCTGTACTGACATATGCTACTATGTAGGTTCTCGATATAATCGCATCCATCATGGATGGATAGATTCACAGACATTTACGAATTGGTTTACTTTAACTTTTTTACCACATGGAAAACGTCTTGA